AATTAGTATTTTTCTGAGTTCTTTGTTCATATATATATATATATATATATATATATATTGGGTTAGTGCACCAAAATTTCTATATTAACGAAGGAAACGAGATCTCAATATTTTTCATCATTTCCTAACAAATCTTATCTTTTCATCATTCCTTGATGCTCTAATCTTATCTTTTTACAGTGCTTTCCCATTTTTCCTTTTTTCTTAAAAAAAGACATTTTTATATGTAAATATTCTATATCTTTATTTGAACTTTCTTTTTATTAATGATGCCCAAATCTTATTAATAGAATGGATCCAATACTTTAAAGCGTGTTTGATAATCTATTTAAATAGTTTAAAAAATTAAATTATAGTATTTAATAGAAAAAGTTTGTTTGATAATTTAAATAATCTTATATTTAAAATTTAAATTCAGTCAGAATTTACTTAATTAGGTAAGTAAGTAAAAGTTTCTAATTTAAAATTTTTTAATTAACATATTCAATTAAAAAAATTTTAAAATTTTTTAAATATGATTATATAGGTTTTATATATTCTTAAAGCATTTATATAGATATAAGCAAAATACGAGCAGCAGAAACAAATCTAACAAGATGCGTTTTCGTTTATCCTCCAATTTTTTTAAGAGATAAGAAAGAAATCAGAGTGAGTGATGAGTAGTACTTGACGCACTGGTAAAATAATTTAAAAGAAAGTGAAAAACTGCTAGGGATTTAATTTTTTATTTTTGGTTAAGAGGATTAAGAATGGCGGCGGTTGCAGGGCCTTCAATGGTGATGAAACAGACTACGTACAAAAGAAAAGTGCGATTATCCTGATCATGATTCTGAATGTCAGACATTTCCTTTTTTAATTTTATTCTCTCTTCTCCCCGGCTACTCAGATTTTAATTTTTTTATTAATAATTTTTTTATTAAATTTTTATTTATTTAAACATATATATATATATATATATATATATATAACTTTAATATGTTTCGCAACAACACTTATAAACAATCTTATTATATTCAACGCGCAATATGAATATATATTAAGTTTCTAATTTATAATTTTATAAGATTTTAATGTCAATCAAAATTATATACTTGATATGAATATAAAAATCTTGTCTAACTTATAAGAATGTTTTAGGAATAAAAAAAATAGTAATATACATATCATGTGATTAATTATAGTGATTTAACCTGAAAAATTTCACATAAATAATAGATTAGAAACTTAACATATATTCAATGATAAAATTGACTAAATTATAAATATAAAGACAAATTATATAAATATTATTTTATTATATAAGGATATAACGAGCCATTAACCCAGGTAATGATTAATCATTAATAATATTTTACGTGAAAAATAAAAATGAACTAAAATTACACATGCGAAATTAGTGGGTCTCGTAATTATCCGGCTAAAACTGCAAAATTTAAATTAGAGGGTTGATTGTTAATGAGTTGTAGCTAGCTCAGCTTACATTAGTTTTTCCTCTCTCTCCCAAAAAGTCTCGAATCCAAATGTTTTCTTTGTAAAAAAAAAATAATAATAATAACAAATAAATAAAATAGTGAATTGTGAATTGATTGTGAGACTCACTAATTTAAAATCAAACATTACCTATGAGATAATTTGACAAAAAATCAAATAAGATACATAATAAATTGAAAAATTATTAACATAGCGGCCAAAATTAGAAAATCTTGACAAACACGCTGATGAATTAATAGATTAAGCCTAAAGATATATGAAGAAATAATTCTTAATTTACAATAATTTTATTGATCAAGTGTATTAGCAACTTTAAAAGGGCGTATAAATTATTATTATTAAAAAAATAAACTAAGATTATCCGAGTTATCATACAAATCTAAACATGTTGAAGAAATTTTATAATACTTAACGAATAACTAATGATATGTATAATAGTTACTCTAAGGACCCACTTTAAGAAGAAAGATGACCACAAAAAAAGAAGAGAGAAACAAGAGAGAGAAAATTAAAAAAAATTGAGCGAACATGGAAATCTTTTTATCGCTTTTGATAAGTTCGGATGTAATAAGAAGATTTTCACATTCGCTCATTTTTTTAATTTTCTCTCTCATTTTTTTGTGTCTATCTCTCTTCTCAAAGTGAATATATAGAGTAGCTATTGTACATATTATAAAATTTCTTAATATGTTGTATTGTAATTTTTCTTTTTATTATATATAAAAAAAAACAAAGGACTGAAAATAAAAGGCTAGCTACAAACAAAAGGGAATTTAGGGTTTATCAGCTTGGAGTAGATGTCTGATCCTTTGCTGTTAAAGAGCAGAACATGATAAATAGATACCTATCTCAGAGGATTTCTACCACAATCACGGAGAACAAAAAAGAAAAGAACAAATGCAGGGATAATTTGCTTTAACCAAAAGGGTAAGTATGAAAACAGACGAAATGGAAAAAATCATGGACCAAAAATATGGTTTTGGCAAACTTAAACAGCCATTTTTCAAAATTTTAAAATCCTATCCAATATCAAATGGTGAACAGTGTGCCTCTGCTAATCAGGTGGACCCAGCTAGCCACCCTGTACACGTGTCAAAAGGATACAATTACAGCGCATGTCGACGCAATATTTCGATGTGGGTGCTAATGGCGTTACGACAGCTCATTTTTTTGTCATCGTCCACCTTTTGACACGTTAAAAAGTCCACTCACGAACCCTCCCCCTCTCTGTCGGTCTTAATTTATTGGCCTACCGATGATTATGATTAATGCGGTTTGCAGATCTAGAGTTAGCTTTTTTCGTTGGCTCTCTTGGTATATTATAAAACATAACTTCTTAATTTTTTGGTCAAAATCACTTAAAATTTTTATTTAAAAAAGAAAAAAACATTTTAATAAAAAAAATTATCATAAGTAAATGCCTTCTGAGTCATGACTGGTATACATAAAGAAGATGATTGGTAATTATTTATATTTCTTAAGAGTAATGTTCATCTATGTTTTATTATTGAATGCAATAAATATTCTTTTTTTTTTTTTTTTGTAAATCACTTTGAAAAAGATTGAAAGGTTTTACTTCAGAGTCTTGAATGAGTATATTTCCTTCTTGTATTTAAAAATGGGAGGAACGGAAACACAAGCATGATTTTAAGGAAAAAAAATAGCTAAATTCGGTATTTTTGGTGCACCAAAATTTCCATATTAATGAAGGAAACGAGATCTCAATATTTTTCATCCTTTCCTAAGAAATCTTGTCGTTTCATTCTTTTCCATTTTCTTATCTTTTTACAATTCTTTTCCATTTTTCTTTTTTTTTTTAAAAAAAAAACATTTTTATATGTAAACATTCTACATCTTTTTTTAAACTTTCTTTTTTATTAATGATGCCCTAATTTTATTCACTTGTTATCGTCTGCATTCTTCGCTGTGTAACAAAATCTTATTAATAGAATACACAAATATTGATTTGTAAATTAAGTTTAAAATTTGATTTTTATGGTTAATATTTTCAAAATTTTATTTTGAAAATATCAGAAATCATGCATTGTAGATGTAGAGTATTTTTTAATTATTTTTAAGAAAAAATTAATTTTAAAATATGTAAAATCTGACACGAGAACATTTGAAGGAAAAAAAAAATCGAACACTTAAATATTCAAAACTCAATCTCTATGTAAACTTAAAAAAGTGGAAAACTCATCTAATTTATGTATCCAAAATTGGTCACGGTAAGACGGTGAGGGACCCAAAATCTCTCCGTCATTTCTTACTTTCTTCTCTTTTGTGAAGAATAAATCATGAAAAACATCTTTTCCACCCAATTTGACTATTTTTTACTCTCCACTCTTTTTTTGAAAGGTCCTTTTTTTTTTTTTTTTTTTTTTTGTGCTTTCCTCTTGGAATAAGAAAACCAACAGTAGTCCCCATCTGTAGCACTCCTAGTACCCAAAGAATGAATTCCTCTTTTAAACTGTCACCATTTTCTTTCTGCTGAAGGTGGTAAATTCAAAACTAATAAATACTTATAAGGTAGAGGCGAGACGGGGAAGGTGGCGTTTATTTCTTTTTTTTTTTTTTAAAAGAAGAGCACCATCAATTCAAAAACTTTTGTTTGAAAAAAGAGAGACCAAATCAAATTCAGACAAGAAGCCGAAAGCAAATAGGGAATTAGGGGGAGGGATCCGTTACCAAATGAAAGGGACAGAGGGAGCCAATCACACACATAACGAGCAGTTGTAGTTGTAGTAGTAGTAAAATAAAAAAAGCAGATCAATTCAAGAAACACACAACAACAACAGCAACAACGACGCGGAAACACTCGCCTTAAACTATCTATATCCCTTTTCTACCCTCTTTCACGTTTTGTTGACCTTCTCGATTCTTCTCCTTTGCCTCTCTAAACTCCCTTTTAAAACATTCCTTTTTCTTTTTTATTTTTTTTTCGGAATTCCAATCAATTATCAGGTGATTTCTTCATTACCCTTTTTATATAAATTGATTGTCACGGAATCTTTTTTTTTTTTTTTTAATTTATGGAGATCTGCTTCTTTTGGTTTGAGTTTTTGTTTTTACTGGATTTGTTGATTGAGTTTAGTGTGGGTTAGAGTTATTTCACTGTCTATGTTGCTTATGATCCAAGTGGTTATTTTGATTTTGCTTTACTGCTAAGTTGATTTGTTTTAAACTGTTTTAACATGAAACCATTATAGAATATCAGCCTCATTGCTTAAGGAGTAACTTTCTTTTTGCCTTTTGAGTGTTTTATTTGTTTTTGAAGAAAACCCACTTGCCAACTTTGTTGAATTATGAGTTGTCAATGTCTGTTTTAGCTGAATCTACAAGTTAAATGAAAACCCTTTATAATTCACTGAGTTCTTATTTAAATCATGCTTGCATTTTGGAGTTTGATTGTGGAAATGAAAGTAAATTCTTGTGCTTTTGGTGTAGGTTAATTTTTGGTTCGTTAAGTTGATTGAAAGTTAGTAGCTTTTGCATCGGATTGATGAGCGATGCAGAGATCACGTAGAGCTCTTCTTGAAAGAAGAGCTTTGGAGAAGGATGTTAGTGGAAAGAATCAATTCTACAAGATTTCTTTGTCTTTGGTTTTTGTTTTGTGGGGGCTTGTCTTCCTCTTGAGTTTATGGATCAGTCGTGGCGATGGTTATACAGGTAAGCTTCCTATCAATTTTTTGTATTCTTAGTCTGTGTTTCCTAGTGAGTTATTAAGTTAAAAGATCCAAAGAGAGGCAAGGCTTTCACCTGATGGAAATTATGTTGAAAAATGACTCGGAAATTTGCCAGAGATGAAACTGTTCCTTTTTTTCCCCCTTAAGTTGTTTATTTAACTAATAACCCAACGATCATCCTGAGAAATGGGCAAGAAATGGCTGTGGTGGTGGATGTCTTTATAAGAACCAGCTTTCTTTGATCTTGCGTTGATTCTTTAGGGTTTGAGACCATTTGGTTAGTGAACTATTTTCTGATAGGGCTTTGCTCTCCATTAGATTCATGCTACTATTCTTCTGACCATATTGTTTGAAGTGTGTGAGATGTTCATAATTTGATCTTCCATTTCCTACAAACTGAAATAGATTTATCGAAGCAATCATCCTGGCCTCTGTTTTTTATTTTTCAACATAATCTTTGTTTTATTTATTTTTCAACATATCTCAGTTTTTCTTTCCCTTCACATTATCAGTGACTACATTGTCTTTGGAAAACTTAATATGGTTGTTTTTTCCCCTCTTAGTGACTGGATGAGTGTTCTCTTAATTTGTCAACGTTGCCTCTCATAGAAAGCGCCTGAGACCATAATACTCTTGCTGAAATAGAATTTGTCTTCAATTTGGTTTTGTCTTTAATTTCTTTGTCCTTACTGTCACTGTGGTATAAATCGATGATACTTATTCTCAATATGTGCTATTTTCGAAATTCTTTCTTATTTTAGCCTCACTGTTTTCATACATTCTGACAAGCTGGTCTTTTATTTCTTTGGATTTAGATGGGTCTGGAGTGCTTCCAGTTGGCATATCCACTTGGAATGAAGCTACACCGGAACCCAGTAAATGCTCTGCTTCTGTAGATAAAAATCCATCAAAAGAAACCTGTCCTTTATATTCTGATGAGAGCTTGTGTTCAGATAGTGCTGAAATCGGAGATTCCAATGACAAATTGCTTACCAGTGAAGGAAACACAAATGATGCCTTTGCTGTCGAGCAATCTGAGGTAGACTCTGGTTCAGGTGTGAAGTCTGAAAATAATGCCCAAAAGACTGATCGACCACATCGTGCTGTGCCCCTCGGTCTTGATGAATTCAAAAGTAGAGCATTCAGCTCTAAAAGTAAACCTGGAACTGGTCAGGTTGGAGGTATAATTCATAGAATGGAGCCTGGAGGTAAAGAATACAATTATGCTTCAGCCTCCAAGGGAGCAAAGGTCTTGGCTTTCAATAAGGAAGCAAAGGGGGCCTCCAATATCTTAGGCAGAGACAAGGATAAGTACCTTCGGAATCCATGTTCTGCAGAGGAGAAATTTGTTGTAATAGAACTTTCGGAAGAAACATTGGTAGATACTATTGAAATAGCAAATTTTGAGCATTATTCTTCGAATTTAAAAGATTTTGAGTTGCTTGGAAGCTTGGTTTATCCAACAGACAACTGGGTGAAGCTTGGGAATTTTACAGCTGCAAATGCTAAGCATGCTCAGAGGTTTACCCTTCATGAGGCAAAAAGGGTGAGATATCTAAGGTTGAATCTTCTGAGCCATTATGGTTCAGAATTTTATTGTACATTAAGTGTTATTGAAGTTTATGGAGTGGATACTGTTGAGCAAATGCTGGAGGATTTGATCTCTGCTCAAGATAATTTATTTGGGTCTGAGGAGGGAGCTGGTGAGCAGAAACCACCAGCCTCCCAATCAGAGTCCACTCAGGGTGATGATATTTATCTAGACTTGTATGGTGATGTGGAAAACTCTTCAGTGGAAAACTCAAATGCAAAGAATGAAGTTGTGAAAAATAAAGTGCCAGATCCAGTTGAAGAAGTTCGGCATCAGCAAGTTGGCAGGATGCCTGGGGACTCTGTTCTTAAAATATTGATGCAGAAAGTTCGTTCCCTGGACTTAAGTTTATCCATCTTGGAGCGATACCTTGAGGAAGTGAATACCAAATATGGCAATATTTTCAAAGAAATTGACAAGGATTTGGGGGAGAAAGATATACTTTTAGAGAAGATCAGATCAGGTGTAAAGAGTCTCCATGACAGCCAGGAGGTCATTGTATGTGAATTTCTTAAACCTTGTGGTTTTGGTTAATTCTTGGATTTTGGCTTTTGTTTTTCAACTCTTTTTTACTATTTATTGTAATTTGCAGGCCAAAGATGTTAATGATCTTATTTCTTGGAAATCCCTTGTTTCCACACAGTTGGATGGTCTCCTTACGGACAATTTGATTCTCAGGTTGCTTCCTTTTCTTAGAGATATATTTCATCTACTTTTTGGGTATCATATTTTTAAAATGTGTTTCCACATCTTATGTTTTGCCTTATTATTATTATTTTTTTTTGATAAAAGTACCTGTGATATAGGGATGGATCTAGGAATCCAATCTTATGGGATTCAGAACTTTGCAGCATAACAAATATACTTTATTGAACTGTGATATAGAGATGGATCTAGGATTCCAATCTTATGGGATGGCCAAAGATGTTAATGATTTTGGCTTTATGCTTAATGATAAAAAAATAAAAAAAGGAAGAAAGGGATGGGGTTTGCTAGTGACTTGCAGTAACCCAAAGTTGTATTGAGCAAAAATTAAACAAATAAACTACAACTAAGCAACTTTTATCAGTGACCATATTAGCTGTAGCAAGCAAAATATAAACTGTGTAAAGAAATCCAAGTATTTAAGAAACTGGCTTTAAGGAAGAGTAAAAATGTAAAAGAAAAATGGATGAGGGTTTCTCATCTGTGGTGGCTGGAACGTTAAAGAAGTGTCCTCCTGGGGCGAGAGGGCTTAGTTTTTTGGAAGTGTAGGAATTGATTATGCCTTTTTCTCCTTGGTAAGTTTTCTTTTGAAAGGAAAGGGGAGAGTAAGAAAGGGGGAAAAAAAAACCCCTCAGTTCGTATGATAATGTGATGAGGAACATAATGCAGTTTTTTGGGGCCTCATTATAATATGGGTTTCTGTGCCCTTGTGCATCTTGATCGGTGGCAGCATTGAGATTGCCGGTCTAAATTCATACAGATGCAATGAACGTGGCAGGGTAGCTGCATGCATGCATGGTTCCATTTTTTGGATTAGGGTTTTGCCTAATCCACTTGGGTCCCTTTACATGATTCCCAAAACTATTTGTAATTGCCAGTGAGATGGTATAATAATGTCATGCAAGGCACTGTATGTGCCAAGTGTTGGACCGACTTCTGGAAGAATCATGAGTAGCTATGAGCGATAGGTGTTGACTTGATGGTTGGTTTTTTTTTTTTTTTTCCCAGTGGTTCGAGTTGATGATTTTGAAGCCATGTTGGATTATGCCATGATAGTTAATAGGATATTAAGGGAACATTTAGTTTATCCATTTCTCATCCATCTCCTTTATCTTTTTTGAGTGCAAATCTGTGGCTGTTTGTCCCTTGTATCTTTGTTTTCGTACAATTTTTCATTTATTATGACAGAATTCTTTGTTCCTTGTTTCTTTTAATTGTATGCTAATAGGTCTTTTTTATCTCCCTTTCTTCCCCCTTTGATGTTTTTGCTTACGTGGGTTCTGATTAGTGCCTCTAATTTGCAGGTCAAATGTTGAAAGGGTTCTAGAGAATCAGAAATCTATGGAGAATAAGGGTATAGCAGTGTTTCTTATATGTTTAATTTTTGGAATTTTAGCTTTTGTGAGGCTATTCGTAGATGTGTTGTTGAGTGTTTATACGGCATTTAGTGTTCAAAGAACAGATGAGTCCAGGAAATTTTGTTGGACAGGCTCTTCCTGGCACTTTTTACTATTGAGCTGTACCTTTATTATTTTGATAATATCATTATAATTGTGGTATGATACATCAAGTTGTCTTGGGAGGGTGGAAGCTGGTATGATTGGTAGATGATTGTGAGATGAAGTTGTCTTGGGAGGGGGAAGTTGGTTTGATTAGTAGATGATTGTGAGATTGTAAGGTTTCTGGTTCTGTGGCATGTGGATACAAAACAAAACAAAATAGCAATAGATAAATGAGGATATTTACTTTCATTCCTTCTGTGGTTATTTGCTAGTAGAGTTTACTGGTTCTTAGTTCTGGGAAAATCTTTATCACTGTCAGTCTAAGTTCGTTTAAAGAGAACTTTCTGGGTACCAGTGTAATTCCACCGCCAGTTAAAAATTTTTTGCTGAGGTTAATCTGTGGAAACTTAGAAGGCTCTTGTATCAAAAAGGAGGCAAGTAAAACATAAAAAACGTCAACATGCATTTATTAGATGAATGAGGTTTAGATATTGTTTAATGTGATTAAGGACTTCTCAGATTATTCTCATACAATTACGTTCCAGGAGCTTCCCTGATGTTAATTTTTCCAGCATGATCTGCGGAAATTTGATGAATGAATTTGTGGAGAATTGATTATGAGTTACAAGCTTACCCATTGCAATTCTTGTGTTACTATCAATACTGGGATTCATTCTCGCAAATTGTCTGATCTTGGTCTCAAACTCTTTCCTGTGATAGATGGATTGTTCGAGTATGTTTCTTTCCATTTCTTCTGGGAGGATCTTCAGAATGCTTTCTGACAGTTGTTTATGCATAAGTCACTGGGGGGCGAAATTGTCTTATTAAGGTTCAGCAAAGTTGTCGGTCCTTAATTAGTTTGAGACTCGAGATTTGAATCATTTGGCCGGCCTTTTTGTTCCTTAAACCTACGAACACAACCGAATTACCTTTTGGATTTATAACAGTGCCAATTACTATGATAAAACGCAAAATGATCGGTGCAAACTAGACATGCATATCTGCGCACTTAACCATTATCGGAATTTGCTAGTTAGAAGGGTGCAACGATCTATCTTTTTTCTTCTTATTTTTTATTTCGTCCTCCTTCAAGGAACATGCTCAAAATTCAACAGAGAAATTAAAAATTTGCCGGCCATCTGGGCTTTATTTGTTTTAAAATATGCTTTAAATGAAATCATCAAGCGCCAGTTTGATCCTTACATCAAATGTTTGCATGAAAAGATTCTCGTTGACTTGACTATATCAAAAACTACAGAAATTTTCATTTTCAAGCCATAAAAAGACCAACAGGCGACTGACATACAGTTTATCTCTGTTAGATCCGATTTAAGGATTACATATATAATCAAGTTGTCACATTCTAATAAGGCTAATGGAGTTTCTATTATCTCATTTATCGTGTTGAACTTAAGCAACACAGCCCTCTTGATCAACACCGAACATTCAGAGCTGATCTCTCATGTATGATGCATCTTTCCAGCCTTATTTTGGGCTGGAAACAGAGACAGAGAATTCTTACTCGGTTCTGTGGTCTTGCCGATAGCCTTATAAAAACTTGGTTATTAGCATTTCTTTGTTGTGCATCCAAAAGTCTTTTATTAGTGATTTTGCAACAGAAAAGGTAATAATTATATGGATGGCTTATTCATCCTCTGCTTCTTCCATCCCTCCGTACAAGTATGATGTTTTTCTGAGATTCAGAGGCGCAGACACCCGTGATCATTTTACAAGCCATCTCCATGAATCGGAGACAAATTAAAGCCTTTATAGATAGGGAGCTTGATAGAGGAGAAGAAATCTCACCAGCCCTTTTGGTGGTCTTAAAAAATTATGCTTCTTCACCTGGGTGCCTAGATGAACTGGTGAAAATACTTGAGTGCGAAGAAGATTGCAGGGCATATGGTTGTACCAGTTTTCTACCTGATCGATCCATCGGATGTAGCAGATTAGACTGGGAATTTCGGGAATGAATTTGTTCAGCTTGAAAAAGCTACATGGACAGTCTAGACAAGGTGCAAAGATGGAGAGCTGCTTTGCCAGAAGCTGCAAATTTATCGGGGTGGAATTCACTTGTCACCAGGTAACTGCATCTTTCTTTCTGATAATTAACCATGGCTTATTTGCCGGTGCAAGACTGCTGTAATTATGTTAATAGGCAAATTTAAACTCATCGAGTGATACGTACACTGTTTTTGTTATCATGTCTGTGAAATCCTTTCTTTAATTGATCTTAATTTTATTTCACTTAAGCTCAACAAAGTTATCAAAGATGTTTTGAAGAAATTGAATCATATGTGCTTATGTGATTCTAAGGGTCTGGTTGGAATTAATACACGGATTGAGAAAATCATGAGATGTTGCTTTCTAGGACTTTGGGGCATGGGAGGCTTTGGCAAAGCAACCATCATTGGAGCAGTACTGTTTGATCGAATCTCTACTCAGTTTGATGGTTCTTGCTTCCTTGCCAATGTCCGAGAACAATTGGAGAAGGATGGAATACTTTATTTATAGAAACAACTTCTTTCTAAAGTATTAGAAGATGAAAATCTATATACTAGCTCTTCTGATGTAAAAGCCAGTTTTGTTATGAGCAGGCATCGTCATCGAAAGGTTCTCATTGTTCTTGATGATGTGGATTGGATAATCCAAAACATTTGGGATTTTTAGCTGGAGAGCATGACTGGTATGAACCTGGTAGTAGAATCATTGTGACAACAAGAGATAAGAAAGTTCTTAAGAATGCAGTAGATGAGATCTACGAGGTTGAGGGATTAAATTACTGGGGAGCAATTCAACTCTTTAGCTTGAAGGCATTTAAGCAAACCACAAAAAGTGTTTTTGGATCTGTCAAGACATGTCGTAGGTTATGCTAAAGGTAATCCTTTGGCTCTGAAAGTTTTGGGATTCTTTTTGTATAGAAGAAGCATGGGACATTGGGAAAGTGTACTGCATAAACTAGAAAAAATCCCCAACACTGCAATTCAAAATGTGCTACGAATAAGTTACAATGGCTTAGATTATGAGGTGAAGGACATTTCTTGACATTGCCTGTTTCTTCAAAGGGGAGGACGGGGATTCTGAGAAAGAACACTTCAAGGCTGTGGTTTCTCTTCTGATATTGGGATAAGTGTCCTTGTAGATAAATGCCTCATAGCTATTTCAGACAAGAACTTGGGAATTCACGACTTGGTGCAGAAAATGGGTTGGGAAATAGTTCGACAAGAATCTATCAAAGAGCCTGGAAAACGCAGCAGGTTATGGATTCCTGAAGATGTCTATCATGTATTGACAACAAATACGGTAAGAGGAAAATGCCTCTATAAACGAAAGAAAGGAAAATTCTGTGCAATTCACTTACAGTGGGAGGGCCGGAAGAATTTTTTCCCCCTTCCCTGGATAGCTTCTCCTGGAGATGGGGGAGAGGATTAGAGAAATTCTTCAGAAAAAAGGTATAATGTCGATGATTGTTTTACATTATACTGTGATAAACGGAGTAGTTTTATCTGTCACAATACTAACTTCACTAATATGGATAATTCTTGCTCAGTTATTCTTTGTGATTGATTGTCAGGGAACTGAAGCCATTGAAGGCATATTCATAGACATGTTTTATAATTCTCGGAACACACAGTGTAATAGAGTGCACCTTCCACGTGGTCTCAAATCTCTTTCGGGTTGGCCCGCGGGTTTAAGAGGGAGAGTGCGTACAGATTTTTTATTATTTTTGTTATTTTTCTGATTCTTTGTATGGTCTCCTCTATTCTTATTTTTTTAATGATATTTATAATTCTAACTTAATTAGTTCTAATTCTTATTAGAAGTGGCTTAGCTTCCAAGATTGATTAGGCTTTCCTAAAATGAAACTAGGTTTAATTAAATTGATTTAGGATAGTCTAAAATAATTTTACTCATGGTCCCTCATTCTTTTTCTTCTTCCCCCTTTTTTTCTTTACACTCATTTTTGCTTCCCTCTTTTTCCTCTCTTTTATTCTCTCCTTTTTCCTTTTAATTGTTTTAAATTGGCAAAAGTCTTGAAACTCCTAAAAATCTTGAAAAAGAATAAAATTGGGTGATAACAAGTTTTTTTTTAAAAAAAGAAAAATCATGAAAATAAATGAGGTTAAAAATTAGGTGATAACAAGTTTTTTAAAGATAGGTTTAAAAAGTGAAAGCCTTTTTTTCAGGAAGAACCAAAAGAAATTTTAGTGATAAATTTAATTTTTTTTCATTATAGGTAAAACAGGTAAAAAAAATCTCTCTTCAAAAAATGAAGAAAAAGAATTAGTGAAAAATAAAATTCAAGTGATCTAAAAAATTTAAAATCTATCTTTATCTAACCAAATCTTTAACTTTTTTTTTTAAATAACGGCAAAAAATAATAATAATAACGGAATGCTTAAACGACATCGTTTAATTATTTCGTTCAATGATCAATTGGATTGATCTGTTACAAACAATAGAAAAAAAGTGATTTATATAACCTTTGTTCAAAAATCAATATTTTGATATTCAAATTATATAAATTGATAATAAAGGTCCGAAATTGACAAATTGTAATAGAAGGGAGGGAATTTTTGTCATTAAATCCTTATACTTTAATAATTTTAAATATCGTTTTGATTGCATCGAATCTTTTACACAAAAGAGTTGGATTATTTTCTACTAAGGACTCGTGCTTTTTATTTTTAGTCTTCTTTTGGTTGTGTGATTTTTTTATTTTTTTTAAAGTGAAAATCATCGTTCAAGAGTAAATGTCACTTCAACCACTTAGATTTTTAGTTGTGAGATCTTGACGGCTTGTGTTTATGGGTTTTGATCTTGAACTCGAAAAAAAAAATTATGTAATGATTTTAATTTTAAGTCTAGAAAAAGATTATCGTTGTAGAAATACTCGAACTTTCCATTTGAGGCATTATGCGGAACCATTATGCATTGTGGTGTCCTCTCTCCATCCCTACTGTTTTTATTACAACACTTTATTTGTACTACGAATGCTTGCAAACTTTAAAATAGACTAGATTAAGTTCGGTAGGGTGATATTTTAAAAAAGAATATAAGTAGTTAAGTTTTTATTACCATCTAATTCACCCCCTCTTAGGTGCCGGGCTTTCAAATTTGTAGTTATTTTATGATTTTTTATAGACTCATTTATTAGAATTAAACGACTTTTCAACATACATTGATTTAGCACCCCTTAATGTTGATTTTCATCTTATTTTGATTTTTTATTCTTCCAATTTGATTTTTTTTTTGTTAACTAAATAATTAGAATTAATAGTCTCATTTGTCTTTATATAATAACTTAAGCTTTCAATCTCTTTTTATATTTTAAAACAATCGTATTATGTCCATATTATTTTAACTAGTTTATAATTCAGTTTATCTCATATTTAGTCTCGTTATAGTTTTATTTTCTTAAGACCATTTACGATTTTTCATCTTAATTGAAACCTCTATTTTTAGAAATTTATTGATTTAGACTTTTCGTTATAATTACATCAACTATTCATCGATATGATATGTTACAATTAATGACAATCAATCACAAATAAACATGTGGCATAGTGGATCTAAAGTAACAATGTTTGAGTCCGAAAAAATTAAAAACATTTTTAATAATAAACTAACAATTAGAATTTAAAAAATGAATAAAAAGGCAAATTTACCTCCACCCAATTATCCCAAAATTCTTGATTTATCCCCATCAATTTGTAATATTATAAATGAAATTTTAGTGCTTCATCCGGATTTTGATTTATGAACTCTCACATTTAACTTTGCAACATCTAAAGGAGTGTTTGGAACAAATGAAGGGTAGAATTGAAATGAACGAAAATTTGTATTTGCAAATGAATTCCCCTGTTTGGAACAAAAAAAATTATTGGTCAAATCATTCATTTGTAAATACATTTTATGTTTGGAACACATGTAGAATTAGAATTGTAGTTGTATTTTACTTAAATACCCTCTAGTTGATTGAAAGGTAAATATGATGTAATACAAAGAAAAAGATAATATTTTCACAAATAATACAAGGATCTCATTCTCATATAAGTCGAATATATCTCTTACATAATATAATATCACAATGGTTGTCAATATCATATTACACGTCCAAAAATTGTACCATTATATTAGCATAAATATTTTGCGACCTATGCGAAGCAAAATATTTCAAAATATAACAAACATCCAACATTAGGGATTCAAGTTTAATCATTCATACTACTAATTATAACAAACATCCCATTATACTTTAAATCTATACGAATGCTAATTATAACAAACAACCCTCACTTTAATCATCCATATTGATTTTCATCTTCCTTCTAAGCCATGGTAGCTTGATTTCATCATCACATGCAAAGAACCTATCCACCAATGACTGATCATTCTCCGTTAGGAAGTCAAGTGCTCATAAATTAAAAACAAACGAGCGGAAGGTTAGGATAGAGGGTATATTTGTCCAAATAAAAATATTTCTCAATTGGTATAGAATTCATTTACAAATAACTCCTCTTGGGCAAGGAATTAGACAAAGCTATATCAATTCATTGATTTGGAATTCATTCATTGACAATTTTTAAAATTGAAGCTTTCGAACAAGATATCATTAATTTGCAAATGAATTCCATAAAATTTTATGAAATTCATTTGTTCCAAACACTCGTCTCAAAATGTAATAGAATTCCATATCTCAATTCATTTCTTAATGATTTATACACTTTTTCGAGTATCCAAACAAAATCATAAAATTGGAGATTAACCCACAATTCTACTTTCATTAACCAATATTTCAATAATTTACCCAAATATGACGAAATTCGTTCCTTTTTCTTTTTGAAAAAAAAAAAAGCCAAAACTTCAACGACTGCTATTGTATAAATCAAAAGGGGAAAAATGCTTAGGATTCAATTCGGGTAAATTAGGTTTCTTTCTTTTCGTTTTCTCTCCGAATTTCTTGCAATTC